AAATATACTTGGGGCATACTTCTCGAACTATCTCAGCAGTGACAGCATCAATTCTTGCTTCAAGCTCAGGAATGGGAATTCTCTTATAACATTTGCCTACCAATATCTTCACAAATTGGAGTAGAGCCATCGAGTTGCAACAACATGTTTGTTTTCAGAAGATTTTTGGCTCTTGCAACTTCACTCTCAGTGACATTTGTACAGAGCTGCATCCATTCCTTTTGAACAGTATGTAGCATGTCTGCAATGGTGGCTGGTTCACAAACCATAGAGTCCCCACAATCCTGTATCTGTGTAGGAAGTGTTGAAAGACTGGAAGCTATGGCAGAGGTTGCCATGAGAGGTGAGTTGGGCCAGCTTGCTAGATAAGTTCATTCCTCCACCAAAAGAGCCATCCCAGTTACCAATCAGTGTGTTTGTGACCATGAGAGAGTGTGTGTCTGGATGCGCCCAGCCAACAGCTTCAACAGCGATCACAAGGTGTGCCAGAGGCATCTTGTCATCTCGCACACGAATCTCACTTCCTGTGAACTTGCAGGGAGGCAGAACTGGTATCCCTCCTGTGTTGCTGGACAGAGTCCCCAAAGTGAAACTTGGCTAACTTAAGCAGTTCATCGTGGGAAACTCCTCTGGCAGCAGCAAGCACAATTCTTGGCCCCTTATAATGTGTGGTTATAGAGTCCACCAAGTCCTTCCTATTGATAGACTTGATATTTTCAGTTGGTCCCAAAATTGTGCGTCCGAGTGCCGTATTCTGATAAGCTGTGGCATGAAGATAAACAAAAACAACTTCTTGTAAATTGGTTTCAACTTCCCGCACTTCGCTAAGGATCACACCACGCTCACACTCAATCTCTGCTTCTCCCAATGTACTGTTTTGTATGATATCAGCAAGAATCTCTACAGCTCTTGGTAAATCCTTAGACGTTGAGATGAGCCCCATATTTTCAATCTCAAGTTCCAGATCTAACTGGGACCTCTTTTTGGTGCCCTTCACATGCCAAGAGGAAATCCATGTTTCAACTCTACAAAGCCAGCATCGGTCCTTTCAGATCCCTGTCCTTGAAAGCCATATGTTCCAGAAAGTGAGCGGCAGTTCCATTATTTTTCTCATTTTCATATCTACTTCCAGCATCAATCCAAAGCCCAACCGTGCACGTCAAGAGCCCAGAGTCTTCAGAGGCCACTCGGAGTCAATTTTCCAAACTTGTGACTCGGATCTCAGGCACATTCAGCACAACTTGTGTCGCGGCCTGTGTACTTCTCAATCTGCCGCCTCCAAAATGCAGTGGCTGGCCTGCAGCACCTCCGACCAGGCGCCTCCGGGTGGAGCCCGTCAGCTGGTGCCGCAGTGCGGGGACCAGGACCGCTCGAGCCACCGCCGCCATCCCTGCTAGCACCTTAGACAGTTTATGAAGACGAATAGGCCCAAGATGAATAGAAAAGCCGAAGGAGGGTGTTATCAAATAGATGATCCAACCATCACCCAAACGTGACGCTGATTCTCAAAACAAGGCAAACGTCAGTATTTGCTGAATTTTAAATTCATTTGGTGTTGTTTTTTAATCATTTTACTATATTAGAGCTATAAAAATAGCTACTTTTTATCGTGCAAGGAACCCTGGTGGCAAAACAGTTAAGAGCTTGGCTGGTAATCAAGTTAGGTCATTTGAACCTACCAGCTACTTAGCAGGAGAAAAGACCAGGTAATCTACTTCCATAAAGACTACTAATAATAATCATAAACATTACAACCAAGGAGGAGGTGAAGCAGAAGCTAGACAGGTGTTCACTTTAGTGAAGGGAAGAGAGAATTCTACAAGAGGCAAAAGGGAAATCAAAGGATGGCAGGACAAGCTACTAGGTTTGATAAACAATGTTGAATACAAAATTATCTAAAATGCAATACCCCACCTAATCCACAATAAAAAGTTAAAAAAGTGGGGGGGGGGGGCGGCGGAATTGCCGGGAAAACCTTATAGCACAGATCTACTCTGTGGTCTAGGTCACAATAAGTCAGAAATCCCTCAACAGCACCTAATAACTTATGGAGCACTGACCATGTTATAGATGCTACTATTAGTGATTTACATATGTATTATTGCATTTCAGAGAGGAAAAAAATGGTGACACAGTGAAGCAAACAAAGCTATCAAGGAGTAACAAATCTGGGAATCAAACAGCTCTGTTATTAAAGTATGTGTCCTATGGAGGCTGCACCTCCCACTAATCACATATTAGAAATAAAACCGATAAGCAAAAATCCAGGTTTGTAAATATAGGAAGTGGGTTTTTTCTTTAATTTGAACATTCCTAACTAGAGAAAGATTACATGGGACTTCATTCCATGGTGATCTTTCAGAGTACACTTAAATAACTATATGGCAATGGGAACCTCTGAAAAAGAATCAATCTTGAGTCTTTTTCTAAAACAAGTAATCAGAAACAAGAAGTCTTAATGGGACAATAGCTACAATGCTGGGCTGCTAAAAGGTCATGAGATCCAAGAACTACAGAACTCCTCCTGTAAAAATAATAGCCTGGGAAACCCTATAGGACAGTTCTTCTCTACCCGATATGGTCACTATAAGATTGATTTGATGGCACCAGCAACAATAATAATTAGTATCACCTGAATATTAAGAGCTGATCCATTACTGGCAGAACTAGCAGTGGATGGCAAATGGAGTGATGATAAAGGATTACTTGGGAAGCATCTTAAAAATAAAAATTCAAGGCCTCACTCCAGTTCTTCTGAATCAAAATCTCTGGTCTGTGCCTCAGAAATTTGTTTTTTAAGATTCTTTATGGGCATCCCTTGCGTATCCTGAATTCTGTATCATCGATACCCTAATCCTAGCATTTTACAGAGGCATACAATGAAGGTCTAAAAGGTTAGACTCGAGAGATTACAGTTTGTGACATAGTAGACTGGAAAAACATCCTGACTCCCCACTTGTTGCTTTTTATCATTCAAGCTGCTTTTTTGTAAAATGGCACGTCTTTCTGCTCTGCAGCTTATGTCCTATTAGCCTATATCTCTCATCTGCAAATTTGGAACTACAAAGTGTCTACCTCTTAAGAGTTGCTGTGGAGATTAAGCAGTATATTCCTAATGATGCACTTAAAACAGTGTGTGGCATACAGTAAGTGCTCATTAGCTATGTACATAGCCCATTAAAACCAAAGCATGCCTATTTTCACTGAAGATTTACTGAACCAGACCATTTTAAAAAGAAGAATGCACATTTCGCTTTAGAAATCCAAGAGGCCTTTTAACTCGGGGCTAAATTTAAAGTCATGGTACCAAATATTTTGTTCTGAACGGGTCCTGTTCAGCTATGCCAACAGATCACCACACAAAGAAGGTAATGGCCCAAAACTTGTCAGATACTCCCACTTTAGCATGCTTCATGGTCATTTTAGGATGACCAGAAACTATGTTTTAGACAGCCCCTTTCCCATAACCGGTGTTTCTTAGGCAAGTTAATGGTTGGTAACCACAAGCATACAGAATCCGTGAGAATCCAGTGAAAGGTAGAAAGATTAGGGATAAAAGGGGTTGTCTCCACTGAATGCCCAAAGGGCTTTGAAATAAATCAGGCACACATTAGACACCTATGGGGACAATCCAAGGTTGGACATTCACAGGTGAGGGTCACCCTGGGCACACACACTAAGTACCAGTACCATCACATCACAGGTGCACCTGAACTCAGTAAGATGTACCAGTAAAAACTCTCAACCATTCTCCCCACCCCCACCCCTCCCACCAGGTGGGAAGAAAAATCCGACTGAGGGCAGATTGCTCTCTTTCGGGTAGGAGGGCAGGATCTTCCCCATGTCTTCAGTTCGCACACGAACGCCCTCTCAGGGCTCACTCTTGTTTTTGTTGTTGTTCCGGGACTCCTCTTCGGTTCTGTGGACTCCACTTTCCAGCCATTTTTCCGCATGGATTTTCGTGCTTCCACGCGGCCATTTTCTGTCACGAACTTTCCCACAGCCTCCACCATGCGGCCTTGCAGGCTTTCCAGGGAGAGCTTGTCCTATCTGAGATTGTATTACCCAAAACTTTCCTTCCCCTCATAAAAGTTATTTGATGATGCCGGTAAATTCTTGCAGCGTTGAGAAGAATCGAGGAAAACCACCCCAGAAACCTAACACAAGCAAATGGCCTCACAAGTCCTCCCAGAAGAATCTATCGTGATTGTAACCCGAAGAGCAGTGTCACCTCACCCTGAAATAAACAACAGCTGCTTCCAGCTGTGCAGAATAACCGCGGGGATAATCAGGGAAGTCCACGACTGCATCAGCTCCTAACACAAAATTAGGACACGGCAGTCCCTCAACCCCCACGACAGGCAGTGCTGCCTTCAGAGGAGGACGAGGAACTAAGGTTTATTCAACAGCCTCTTTCCCTGGGGTGAGGCCAAAGGAAGCCAACCTTGGATGGCTGGTCAGGCCTGAGCGACGCCTGAAGGCTAACGACCTTCTGGTCCCGATCCTAGGAACTGCCAAAAGCCGCCACCGCGCCACAGCCCAGCTGCCGGAAGTGCGTCAACCAGCCAGAGGAGGATGCCGGGAGTTGTAGTTAAGCTACTTCTGGTGCTTCCAATTTACCTTTTCCAGACAAGCGCGCACACACATCTAAGAACAATAAAAAGAAGTTCGCCTTGTGTCCAATATGTCTAATATTCTTTCTTCCATCCAGGTGATAAAGGGAACTGTTAACGGAGTGCATGTGTAACACGGGACTACAAGTCCCAGCATGCTCTGCAGAGTCCTGAGCCGGGCCACCGTCTTCGGTGTGGGCCTCATGAATGGGGTGTCGGGCGTAAGGCAAAGCCTGGCACCGTCCGCGCGTCCGGTACCTGCTCCCGGAGCGTGAGTGCGGGAGTGGGCCGTGCGCCTGCGCGCTCCTGGGGGAACGCGAGGCGGCGCTGAGCTGTTGCGGGCGCGTGCTGCGGAGGTTGGCGGCAGCGGCGGCGGCGCCGCGCGCCCGACGGGCCGGTCGTTGGGGGGCTTCCCGCCTCGCCCCAGGCTGCCGGCAGCCGTGGCGGCCGCCGGGGACCGCAAAGGTCGGAGGAAAGCAGGGAGCGGAGGGGGCCGGCCCCGGCACGCTGAGGAGCAGCAGAGTATGCCCCGAGACAACATGGCCTCCTTAATCCAGCGGATCGCCCGCCAAGCGTGCCTCACCTTCCGGGGCAGCGGGGGCGGCCGCAGCGCTTCCGACCGCGGCGCGGCGCCAGGCCGCGAGGCTGCAGTGTCGCCGGGCTTCCCGGAGAACCTGAGCAAACTAAAGAGCCTGCTGACCCAGGTCCGCGCCGAGGACCTGAACATCGCCCCGCGCAAGGCCCCGCTGCAGCCGCTGCCACCCAACCGGCCGCCGGTCACCTACATGCACATCTACGAGACGAACGGCTTCAGCCTTGGCGTCTTCCTGCTGAAAAGCGGCACGTCCATCCCGCTGCACGACCACCCGGGCATGCACGGCATGCTGAAGGTGCTCTACGGCACGGTGCGCATCAGCTGCATGGACAAGTTGGAGGCGGGCGGCGGGCAGCGGCCGTGGGCCCCTCCGCCTGAGCAGCAGTTCGAGCCGCCGCTGCAGGCCCGGGAGCGGGACGCCTTGAGGCCGGGTGTGCTGCGCTCGCGGGCCGAGTACACCGAGGCCAGCGGCCCCTGCGTCCTCACGCCGCACCGGGACAACCTGCACCAGATCGACGCCGTGGATGGACCCGCCGCCTTCCTGGACATCCTGGCCCCACCCTACGACCCCGACGACGGCCGGGACTGCCACTATTACCGGGTGCTGGAGCCAGTCGGGCCCAAGGAGGCCACCGGCTCGGCTTCTGACCTGCCCCGAGAGGTATGGCTCCTGGAGACCCCGCAATCCGATGACTTCTGGTGCGAAGGGGAACCCTATCCAGGTCCCAAGGTCTTCCCGTGAAGCTGGTGCCTAGGAGCGGTGGCCCCAAGACATGCCCATCCTGATCTGGACCAGGCTGCACGCAACCCACAAGGGCTTTCTTTCTACCCCCCTGCTTTGGCGTTGGATCTACTGGAATGGGCAGTAGCTGCTTCCTCAGGAGTCTTGGGAAGCGCGGGCGATTGGACTGCAGCCACCGGCACGGTTAAAGGGGCGGGGTAGGCGGGGAGGCTAGTTTGCTTCCTGGCGCTGTCACTGCCACCGGGGGTTTTGTTTTTGGGGAGGGGGTGGGCAAGGGACTCTGGAGCGCTTCCAACATAAAGCCATAATGAAAATGTCCTTCCTCTGTTGCCCACCCAAATATAAACTCAAGTCAAACTATACACTAAATACGCCCCCCCCCCCCCTTCTCAGGTAAATCGATTTTTTTCCCCTTCCCACTTAGGCCCTTTGTTTTAATTTATTGACTGCATGGGCCAGTGGCTTGAATTATTTTCAGTTCAAGTCACTGGTAAAAACTACGTCCAAAAGAGCTGACCTACTGGTAAATGCGAAGTCGTCTTGCCTATTCGTTGTGAAATCCTTTCAAAGTTGGGGGATTCACCCTCATTACAACTATGCATGTAGAGGACAAGCTTTCTTTCCTCTCCTACCCAGTAGCCACTTCTGGTTTACTCTAGCAGCATCTTAAGAAATTTCAGCACCTGTATATAGTTCAGTGACAAATGGTATCTTAAAGCTTGTCTTTCCCATCAATTCCCAGATCTGTGAGTTGAGCAAATATGCTTCAGGTTCACCTTTAATGCAAAGACTGTATTATCCTCAAATGATGTTTTCTCCTTTTAAAGTACTTTAAAAGGCTATAGGGTAATTCTGTTTTCTAACCCTAAGATTCAGAGATGCTGAATCGGTGATGCTTCCATACACCCGAATGTAAAACCCCCTAGCCAGCTTTGGGATTTGATAGCCCAATACTTCCGGTATTTGCTGCAAAAAATAAGTTGAGGGATGTTTCACATGAGGGCTGATGGTTGCGGCAGTATTGTTGCTGGCAGTATTAGCTCAGATCCCTCAAGCAGGAGGACATGAGGGCTGGCGTCCTCTGATGTGCTTTGCTATGGGAAGAGAAGGCACATGATTGAGGCCAGAAACTTAAAAATTAGCTCTGGTTATAGTCATTCAGGCATCCCAACTTGGAAGTAAACACTTCCTACCCTACCCTTGAAGTTAGCAGTTTTGTTATCTGTGACTACTTTTATTTTTGCCCTTTAGGTGGGGCAACCTCACCTGGTTTACAAATGTATTGACACCCATCTGCTTCAGGCCCGGAAGCACTTACTGTTTCCCCCTTTTTACTATTTATAGGATTTCCTTTTTCACAAAACTTCTAATGAAAACAAACTGTAGAAATAAACACATTAAAGTTTGCCCAGCTGCCATCTCAGCCCTCTTGATTAGCTTGCCCATGTGGCAATAGAGTTCTAATAGCTATAATAAATACAATATTGGTAGAAAGCGTTTGGCCCTATAGAGAACTGTGCCTTTGCCTCTTTATGAACACTGGGTTACAAAGGCTGAGTGCAAGATTTCCTCCCAATTTTTACAATAGTGTGAATAAGCAAATTCTTCATTGATTTTTTTTTTTTTTTTAAACAAAGATGATGCTTACTTAATGTGCCACACCACTAACTTGCAAAACCTGACACAGGCTTAATATGTGCCTACTGCCAAGCATTTCCCCCAGGGTTGCTAAAAATGTGTTACTGAAGCTTCACATTCTGATCTGGCTTAATATGTCTCGGACGGTCTGAAGCAGTTCTTCCTGTCACTCAGCTTGAAAATTAATTCTGATCATGAAAATGGTCGTTTTCTCAGAAAAGAGTTCCCAAACTTAAAATGCCAGTTTTATTTATTATTTTTGTAGCATATTAATGAATGTGTAAGCTTATCAGTCCCGTGTCTTTTAAAATTTCTATTATAGCAAAAAGTCATCAACTTAACCAAGGGATGGTATTATTAATTTATATGCTATGCAACCTGGAGTACATTAAACCTATAAAAAAAAAAAAACCCTGACAATAGGAAAATAATAAAGGAAGGACTGTTCCAAATTTCAGTATGAAAAAAGTTTTAAAGTTCTCTGTCAAGCAATTTGGAGATTGGGGGTGGAGGGGTGGAATCTAAGGTGCTTTTCAAAAGAATAGCAAATGGTTGCAGGCTGAAACCGCACTATGATCAGTAATTCAGCTCAGTAAGAACACTGAAACTTTGGTTCACTAATACATTCTGAGTGAGCCAGTGGAACATAAAATGGGCCTGTGTTAGTGAGCCGCTGAAGGAAAGACTCGGTACAGAGACAAACTGGTGTGCAGAAAACCTTGCACATCTATGCATGAACTTTTGATCTCCACTAACTGCGTGTGCTGCTATTGTGCTTCCATGTATTCCTGCAATAGAGAATAAGTCTTGGTAACAACTGGGATTAATGAGCACAATGATAGTAATCTAATTTTTCTGTTGAGTAACAAATGCAATAATTGCCTCTCATGGCTGAAAAATCATCTAAATACTTATAAGGCTTTTTATTTTTCTGGTTATATTAATGACCAACTAGAGCAATGGAAGATCATATTATACACCGACCTAATATATATACAAGATTTTTTACTAAGCCTGATTTTGCATTGATCGAGTTTCTACCCACTGCTGTTCACAAATGGAAACTGTGGTCTGCGTTTTAACAAATACGTGTTTTGTCAACAAGAGTGAATTCTCTGACATTTTTACACTAATAGCCCTTCGCTTCTCCCAGAAAGCGCACCTGTTCTCCCTGTCACCTGTTCGCTTTAGGAAGGACTCCTACAGAAGGACTCTGTCACCACTCATCGATTCCCCATCATTCTGAATCCTGTGCTCTAGCTAAACTGCCCAAAGAGGCAGCAGTACATCTGTATACGTCAGGGCTCAGCCCGTTGCTATTCAACTCTGACCTGAGGGTAGTGCCACTCCTGTAACAGCTGATCTGAATTCGCAACTTCGGGCTGCATTTGGAAGCCGACCGGATGGCTTCCAGTGCACTGAGGCACCTGCTGTCAAAAGAAGGAAACCGTTTGTAAGTCCCACTTAGATATTTACCCTTCAAACCCAGGATGTTTCCATTTCCTGGGTTGAAACCATTCAGTGTACTTTTGGAAAATAAAGATATGTTTAAAATTGTTTAGAGGTAACTTATTTAATTGCAGAATGGAGGAGAAAAATCTTCATTGATATGTTGTCTACATTTTGCTTGTTGAAGGTCCACAATCTGTATTCTGAGATCATGTTGTACAGAGACCCAGTGGCCTCAGAACTTCAGAAGTCCAAGCAATAATACAAATTTGGGGAGTTTATTTCCTTTGGAATAAGCTTTGAAACATTGAAATAATGTTGGAAAGTATTGTCTGCCACAACCTGGGGTGGGGGGGTGGGGACTATACTTAACCTAATAAGCCAGTGCAAGGAAATTAATATTCCCATACTAATATCAAGGAATGTTTTTTCTGTAGAATTTTTTAGGGTGTTTAAAAGCCATGCCATTATCTTGCAAACACTAACAGGCATAATACCTTGCCTGTAACTTGGATTGGCAACATTTTATGCACTTATTGATGCTGTCTCTCAAAATATTGTACTGGACTGCTAAAATGTCCCTGCAACCATTTTTAAGTATATAATTTGCCTTACTAAAGTATGCAATTGGCCTTGGTTTTGTTAGCAGGTTACTGAAACTATAAAACTTGATTTATAGTTTTATAGTAGAAGAGTGAATTCTCTTAAACACTTGAAGAAGCCTTCTTCAATACTATTCAGTCAATTTCAACTCAGCCACACTATAGGGCATGGAAGAACTGCCCCTTTGGGCTTCTGAGGTGGTAAATCTTTACAGGAACAGGCATCCTCATCCTTGTCCTGTAGCGCAAACAGTGAGTTCAAACCACTGACCTTGTGGCTAACAGCCCCATACAGGCTTTTATGCCACAGAGCTCTGTCTTGATGGCTGTCTTCAAAGACAAACAGAAAAACCTGTCAAGTTTGACTCATAGCGACCTTATAGGACAGGCTAGAACTTCCCCTGTGGGTTTCCAAGATTGTAAATCTTTATGTAAGTAGAAAGCCTCATCTTTTTCCCATAGAGCTGCTGGTGGTTTCAAACTGCTGACCTTGCTGTTAATCTAACTCATAACCCACTATACCACCAGTGCCCCTCTTGCATATTTTAAATGTGAACTGAACCATCTGAAGCATTGTGAATTTTTAAGAATTAGAAGTTACCTTTAAATAGACACTCCCAGTAACAGCGGAAATACCCACCTCAACAATGGCTATGTAAGAGATGAGAAGCAGGCTGATCTTTATATACTGTATGTCTTAAATGAAGGGCCGGGGGCAGGGCCGGTAGATAACTGAAAAGGCTCCTGTTTCAAGCACAGAGAAGTCTAATTAAGGATGCATTTAACATACCTGTTGCACTCAAGGGGTAAAAACCAAAGTTGGTTCTGAGAAAATACAGGAGACGTGTTCCTTCTGGTATGTTCCAACAAGCTAGAGTCAAGTTAGGTAACAGCTTTCATAAGAAACGTATGTATATACATAATATTCAGCCTTATTCTTTACAAATGGCTCTATACACAGATTGGGTTATCTTGGGTCTCTCTGGAAAAAATCTGGCAAGGCAATCATGTACATTATAAAATGTAAGTATTACTTTAATACTGTGGAATCTTGGTAGGAGAGTAGCTACTACAAACAATCGTCAAGATGTTATGTTGTTTTACACATATTTATCAAAATAGTCCAAGCAAAGATGATGATCTGCTGACAAAGTTGGAAATAATAATCTAATGGGAAACCATCAGTCACTAGAGAAATATGACAGTAGTTTCTGTCACGTCTGTTTGGTATAGAAAGGGATACTCTGCATCTTTGAGGTATCCACAGAGAAGCGATGTGGGGTGGGGGCGGGGGAGTCTATAGGTCTCAAAATCTACTGCTGGTAAGGGCACAGGTGATTTCCAGGAATCGCTGGCTGCTGTCCTGAAATACAGGCCATCAATTACCTGCCAAGTCTAATAGTGGCAAAGGACAAACGGGGTTTTCAGATGATCTAGCTAAGCAGTCGTGTAATGAGTTCCACCTGTGTACGAATCTGGTGCTAGTGGATGAAGTTAATAAAGATCCGGTTTTAGGCTAAAGATCACTTAGCAGATCACCACTTACTTTGCATAATAAATGGCTAACTGACATTTTTGGTGCATTTATATTTTAAAATCACTACCACAGCTTGCAGTGAAATGAACCCTGCAGTGGCTTCTTTTGCAAAGCACTGTCCAGCATGATGGAAGGAGGGCCATTATTGCCTATTTAACTCATATAGTCTATGATTTATCCTTTCTAACAGACTGAGTATTTTGATAGTTAAGCCTATGGCACATTGATGATCCTTCAGAATACATTTAATCAGGGCGTGAAGGCTGGAGAGAAATGAGTCCTGGGTAATTCCTTTGGCAACCCATCACTGCTGTCATCAGCAGCGCCTGAGCGCATCTTTGATCTGAAGAGGTGATGGCACTTTTCAAAAAGTTTGCTGTGGTCATGAGACTAATCCAGGAACCCAAAAGTCATTTCCAGTGTGACCACACCACCACACTTTCCACAAAACCACATCTCTTCTGAGTTCCAGGTCCTGGTCAGAGTTCTGAAAGCAGTTGCAAATGTGTAGTCTCCGAGTGGGCACTTATTTGTAAGTATTTACTTTCCGGAGCCCACTCAGGAAAGGAGAGAGGCTATAAGCTGTGTTATCAGAGGATGGAACAATGAGTCAAACACTTTTTTACACTAATGTCTGGGGGGAAATCCCCCTAACAGGAGCGTTTAAATATGAATGGAGATTGCTTTGGGGTTGAAGGGTTGAGGTGACAGGCGACTAAAGAGAATTTGGAGGTCAGAGTTTGGCCGAAACCCTTCACCTGCTGGCTTCCAGTCTTTAGGTCTGACTCAATGGCAACCAAGTACAACTTAGAAAAATGATTTCTGCAGCAAAAATATATTGTTGAAAAGTATTTATTTACACCATAGTCATAAACCATTTTCTGAAATTCAGTTAGTGGTTCTGCATTAGATTATTTATATTTCCACAACTATTAAGAGCTAATAGCCAAACAAGTCAACTCCAATAACATTATTTACATTCTCATCTGAAATTGGACTACAAAGGTAACACTTTTAAGTCACAAAACAGAGCATACAAAAATATACTTTCTAAAAAAAAATCCAAATATTAATAGGCAGAAATATACAGCCGGACTAAATCCAGAGTGTGATTTTATTTTCCATAGTAAGGCAGCCCATTTACATGCAGACACTGTAACATTGTCTACATCACACAAGGCACCAAGGACACTTTCAATACAATTGCATGCATCCTAATCATAGAATATATGTACATCCTCCTTTAAATAAGTTAACCTCTGACTCATTTCAAAAGTTCATAAATGCTTTACTTTTTTTTTTTCCCAAAGGTTCAGAACTTGGAGAACAGTGCACATCAAAAATACACAAACTCTGAGTGGATATACACTGAAAAAATAGTCTGCGATTCTCAAACAACTCAAAAAAAGGAGCAGATATTGCCGTGTCCCTCCCATCACATTGCACTTCTGTACTCTGAGTTGATAACACATATTGCTTAAAGGGTTGAGACGACTAGAGAAGCTTTGATTCACTGTTCTAGGGCCAGAGAATGCGACACAAAGGCCATGCTTCACTCACTATACAGCGTCCCCAAATCAGTCCCAAGCCATAAAGTGCACATCAGTTTTGCTTCTGTCTTTCTGCTGTCCCACTGGCAGGGACCAGCATCTCCCAACCTACAGTGGAGAAAGTCCCAGACAACTCTTGACATCCAGAGTCAAAAACTTGTAAAGGGCAAATGGGTGGGCAGCAAAACCTAGTCAGACAACCCTTTACAGCAGGGTCAGGCCTCAGCCCTCTAGGCCAGGCGAGCCCACCCAACCCCCTTCCAAAGCCTCTCCTTTACCTTGGGGCCATCCTCAACTCATCTGCCAGAGACGCAGGTGGACCAAGTTTTATGAAAGACCTGTTTTTCAGTGGCAAGCAGGGCCAATGCTGGGCACCACCAAGGCCCTTTGCCCAATGAAGGGAGGGAGGGGCAAGAAAGTGTGGTAGTGTTCATGGCAGCTCAAGTGGATGGAGGGCCTCCAGGGCCTCAAGGAGCTGATGCTGTCAACCCGATTCTCGTCTCAAGGTGTCCTGGTCCGAGAGGAGCAAGGGGCAAGCGGCGCCCCAACAGTGCTGCTGTTGCCGCTGCACAGGGCCGCCCCAGCCTGTGTGCCCCCAGTGCAAGCTGTGGACGAGGCCTGCACCGAAGATGAGGGTGCACTGCTCTTCCTCTCCTTCTGCCTCAAATGGATTTTAGTGTGGCGCTTCCGCTCGTCGCTCCGGGCAAATTTGCGGCCGCAGTAGTCACAGGCAAAGGGCTTCTCCCCCGTGTGCGTGCGGATGTGGGTGGTGAGGTGATCGCTGCGGCTGAAGTTGCGCATGCAGATCCGACACTGGAAGGGCTTGTGGCCAGTGTGAATTCGGATGTGCCTGGTCAACTCATCTGAGCGGGAGAAGCGCCGGTCACATCCCTCTGCTGGGCACGGGTAGGGCCTCTCATGCACTGGGGTCTTGCTGGGCCTGTTGGGGTACTTGCGAGGCCTCAGGATTGGCCGAAGTGGCAGATGGTGTGGGTTATAGGCAGCTGTAGCGGCAGCTATCGCCACTGAGCTGCTGCCAGGCATCCGGGGTCCCTCACTGCCTCCATTGCTCCCTGGCCCTGTGGCCCCAGCACTGGGCCCCCCCAAGGTAAAGTTTCGGATGGTGGAGAGGGGTGTTAGTGGAGGGGGGACTCGAAGAGAGTCCAAGGGACATGGAAAGGGCTTGCGATCTGGACCAGCTGCACTGTGTAGGTCTCTCTGGCATTGAGATGGGAAAAATCCAGGGTAGTCCGGGATCATAGGAAAGAGACCGGGGTCCGTGGCTGGTTTGGGGGACGGGTAGGAAGGAGGTGGTGGGTAGGCCAGAGGAGAGGAGTTGGAGGTGGTGGCTGCCGACAGGAACGCCGAGGGGTCCTGGTAGAGGTCTCCAGCACAGCCAGAATACGGAGGTGGTGGTGGCGGTGGAGAGTACAGGTGGTCCAGGTCAGGCTGGCTCTGGGACATGGTGCACACACCCAGGGGTCCTGCAGCCAGTGGGTTGGGGGAGGCAGAGGTGACACTGGAAGAAGCTGTGGTTGAAGCTGGGGAGGTGACCCCTTGCAGGATGCCGGCACTCACAATATTGATGATGCCTTCTGGATAGCAGCTAGCACCAGAGTACTGAGGGTCAATGGAGAACTTGCCCATGTAAGTGAAGGTCTGGTTTCTAGGTGCAGAGACGGGAGCGAAGCTGCTGGGATATGGGAGCTCCAAGGACCTCTTCTCCCCAGTCATGTCAATGTTGATCATGCCATCTGGGAAGGGAAAGGGCAGATTGGAGGTGGAGATATGAGACCGCTGGCCAAGCTCTCCCTTCTTGCTCTCATTCACAAGGGCACACTCCCCAGGCCAGGATCCCAGTCCTGTAGAGATGGGGCAGAATTCAACCAGGGGAAAAACGACAGCACAAGAGTCAGTAAGAAGAGGCTAGCCCATGATCCCACTGTGGCAGCCAGTGACAGTCTGGAAGTCAAGAAATACCTCCAAGAAAGCAGGATGACTCCCCCAGCCCCCACACACAGCCATCTGTGGCTTTAGTCCCCAATAAAAACACCCAATAATAGCAACAACATTAAAAATTCCCCATCTGCCTGGAACTTCACTCCCTCTCTTTTGCCTGGGGTGGCGGGTGGGAGGAGGGTCCCAGGATTGGTGCTCCAGGACAGGCACCACCCAAGAACTGCCTAATGCCTGCCAGTGCCCAGAAGGTGCCTGTCTGAATGGGGAGCCCGAAAGGGAAATCAGTGATTTCCCGGTTGCGCCCCATCTTCTGTGGCTTCCCTTCCTTCCCCTTCACTGCGCATCAGCTGATGGTTGATGGTGAGAGGCAGGAGCTGCGGGGGCTGGCGTCTACAGGTTTCCTTCCCTTCCAAGCTTCTCAGCCTTGAAAACCACCCGCGCGTCCCCGCCCCAGCCCCAGGCTAGTGGCCGGGCTTGGAGGAAGGTGCGGGGACCGCGTAAGACGACTTTGCCCAGCATTGCCAGGGAAACCCGCCGCGGTGGGCCCCCTGGGCCCCTCTCCGCAAGCTGCGGGCCGGGTTCCGCAGCCGCCCACCCTCTAGCCCCGTCCCTTCGCCTCCCCCGGCTTGGAGCCCGCTAGCCACTAACCCCTTCAACTTCACGGGCGGCACGCAGGTGTGGCGGCACGCGCTCCGAGATTTCCCCCGGGTCCGCTCTGGCCGCACGGAGCGGCGGGCGCTTTGCTCTGGCGCTTCGCGGCCGCTCAGCTTTCTCCCCGAGAGCCCCGAACTTTCCCGTCACTTTGCCCCCACTCCGGAAAAGGGGAGGCCAGGGTGCTGCCGCCCGAAAGCCCCGCTCAAGTCCCAAGGCCCAGGGCGGCGCCCTTTCCACACCTATCCCTGCGCTGGGCGCGCGCGATCGCTCGCTAAGGATCGAGCGCATCTGCCCGCGCGCCCAGCTCCAGCGCCCGTGTCCCTGCGACTGCGGGCGTGTCGGCTGTCCCCTCTTTCGGGCTTTAGAGCCAGTTCTCTCAACTCGATCCACCTAGCGCCCGAACCTCGGCTACGAATCCCGAAGACGTCCGGGTCTCCCCCCTCCCTACCCCCCACCTGCGAGCCGCGCGACTCCTCGCCCGCACGGGTGCACGCGGCTTACCTCCAGCCACTCCGTTCATCTGGTCAAAGGGGCCTCCCAGGTCGCCATTGGGGAAGATGGTCACCGACGTGGCGGCGAGGTCGTCCACAGGGTAGATGCTGTCAGACAGCTGGTGCACAAAACCACTGAGAGTTACTGGGATTTTGTCTACTGCCTTGGCGGTCATCATTTGCTCCTCGCACAACCTGGAGACCCAACGCCCTCGCTACCTGCAGTGCCAGAGAAGCCGTTTTGGAGAGCGGTTGGGCTGAGCCTGGCTTGGTATCTCCTGTTGCCCTCCACACTTAAAAGCAGCCAACCCAGGGGCAAAAAAAAAAAAAAATCCAACAGGAAAAAAAACCCTAGCAAACAAGTTTCTTGTTGGTATTGTTTTTCTTTTTAAGAAAGAAGAAAAATGGCTATTCGCCAGTGGCTCCTGCCTCGTGTGCCGGCTGTTGAGAAGCCAGGAGTTGCTGGTGTAGTGTTATTATAACAGTCAGTGTGTCCCCTCGCCGAGCTATTAATCAATTGCTGCTCTCTCAGTAGGACGGAAAGTGTTGCTCTAAGTATTTATGGGCAGGTCTTGAATGCCCGTGACGTCGCTGCCCATATATGGACTGAGGAACAGGGCTGGGCCTGGCGGCTTTTGCCGTCACATGGCCAATTTGCATACGGGCTGGGCCGCGCGGGCCGAGCCGC